CTTAATTTCTGAAATTTCAAAATCTCCTAAACTAAACGTTTAATAATGAAAATTTTTCAAAAACTGTCAAATAATTTTATTTACAAGCTTTTATCCGCAAACGTTAATAAAGTGACTATACTTTTATGAGTAATAAATATCACAAGTAAAAGTTTTACTTTTCAGCCATGGAGTAAAATTCAATTTTTGCGTCTTAGCACTTTTTTTACGGTCATTTACCCAATATTGAAGTACGTTGTAGATCATCAGCACTACCAACTGCACTAGTTAAATTAATAAACACCTTCAATACAAATATTGATACTGTTGTCTATAAGCGTCCTTTTCATGATGCAAGCGTGCTGATTATTTTGTTCATTTACTTGTTAATTATAGTGTTACTTTTTACTTTCAATCTGAATACGTTTGCGAATAAAAATATTTATGTTATTCAGAATAAAAGTGAATTCATGTGGCTCAGTCGAATTATTTGCCTCACTACGTTCGGTAAGATAAACGTTCAGCTTTCCTACATAAACTATCACTTTTACTCTTAATAACATTTTGTATAATTTTTTGATAAAAAAATGGAAGCTAATAGTTTTACTTAACTTGACCTGACCAAAAACTACAAAGAATTAATAATTTTCATGATGTTAAAAAAAGTTTAATAATATTTTTTCAGAAAATTGGTACAAAAAATTTATCCACTATAGTAAGATTAAAGAAATAATTTTTTTCTTCTTGTTTTTTATTATTTTTTTTTTTACATAAAGCTTATTACTTTCGTTGAAAAATTTTAGTTTAATTTTTTTAGCAGTTTTCAAATCACTCAATGCTTTGCGCTCTAATTAAATTCTCTTAAAAAAATATCAAATACCAACTTGACAATAATAAAGAAATTAAACGAGTGCTGTTTATTTTTCGTTTTTCTTGCCACTGGTAGATCCTCATTATTTTATATCAGGTATCAGTCAGAACTGTTACAAATTCCATCAGGAATTCAACGTTGTATTTGATTTTTATCTCGACATGTCAACAGGAGAAAAGAAATATGTCGGAACATGTTCCATGAAGAATTTTTGATTAATATCTTTGAGAATTTTAAGTATTAAAGTTTATGATTGTGCAATTTATTATAGCCGGAGTTAATGGAAGAGTTATAAAGTGGTTTCCAAATAAAAGACATTGTGTTAGATATGCTTCACTATTTTATGCACAATTAAACTACAAAATTTGCATAAGACTGTTTTTACAGAACCTTTGTGCTCTAATAAAAGTCTGAAACAACTTTCTGTAGCAAAGAAATAAGCGTTGTTTTAACACTTTTTGATATTTCTTTACCATATTACAGCTTTTAAAATAATTTTCAGCTCGACGTGGTATTCAATGAATAATTCATTGTGATTCAGCTTGACTTGATGGCGTAAATGCGTCCATTGGACATGCTTATGGATGATAGATTCTTTCCTATACATTATTATCTCCTCTATTTTTCCTTTATCATCAACCAGTTCACATTTTTCTTGCATTTTCTCTCATTGTAAAGCTCGCTCCATCAGATTCAAGCTCAGTACTTCAATGAGACTTATTGTATTCCTAACTACATTCTTGAGAACTTGACTCCGTTACTTATTCACACCCATACATGAGCATGAGGTGCATACAAATTTTTTTAGTGGACCACACCTCTCCACTGATTAAATTTGCTAATTAATTGAATTAAATTTGATAGTTAATGTGAACATCTTGTAACAAACTGTTATGGTTATGAGCAGAAATCAAGTAAAATCTAGGTCAACGATTTACTTTTCTAAACACTAAATTCGTTGTTTGAGCATGGGGTCCCACACTTATTTGTCTAGTTGAGAATTAATTATGTTGAAATTTGGTAATGTAGAGCATGAGAAAGTCTAAATATCCCTGGTCAGTTATTATCATTAATATTGAAAAATTGACTAGTTTTTGCAAGTTTGACTGCTACCAACTTTTATCATCTTTTAATAGTTTTGCTATAGAACCAAAACATCTTAAAATTA